GTGGGTGAGCTTAAAGTCGCCATTAATAGATTATTTTGATGTGTTTTGGTTGGATTTTTTATCTGAATTTGATGGATTTTGGTAAGTGGACACGCGTGGAGCAATTGGTCGTTCACCCCGACCCCGTCGCTGCCGTTACACTCCAGCGCGTGCGCGTGAGGCTCCTCCCGTGGCTTGGAATGTCCTAGAACTAGTCTGAGTTAACTCGAATCGGTCTGAGTCAACTCGAATCGGTCTGAGTCAACCTAACCGACCCAAGTCAACCCGAACTGGTCTGACCCATTGACTTTGACCAAAAGTCAAATTTTTTGAAAAGTCATATTTTATGTTTTTCAAAGTCTTAAGTTCGAATATAAAGTCCATTTTTCCAAATTCAAACTCGATAAGCTATTTTTCGACATTTTATCTCCTAATTCAATACAATTTTTTCACGTTTAAGTTTTATTTCTAATGTAATTGGTGTGGCCATGTATCTGAGGCATTATGGGACGTGGAATTAAAGTTCGTGAGCAATCAAATGGAGTCTAATTAGTTAACTGATATGGCTCAAAAATCAATGTAATGCATTACTACCTTATGTATGCTTTATGGAACATTTTGGTATTGATTAATTCATGGATGAATATGTTTGGTTAAATGTGTGTAGTTAATATGTATAAACTCAATTCGAATGTGATATAAAGTAATTAAACTGAATAAGACTCATATTACACGTATAATATACTAGAAGACTGATAAGAAATAATTTAAGGTTAAGTGATTAACAAATAAAGCAATCAACCTCAGAATCTTTAAATTCTAATTATTTTCATTAAAAGTTTTAATACTGAAATCACCTGGTTAAGAAATTATGAAATTACCCCTATGAGGTAAAAGTGGTCTGAATTGGCCCTGATAGTGAAAGTACCCTAAGAATTCATATTTAATCCGATAAATTGTTGATGCACGTGTGAAATTATTGATATGTTTGGAAAGTCACTGATAATCAGATCTTAACATTCGAGAAGGTACAAGACCTAGATTTATTGATTTATTAGCAAACACCTAAAGGCTAAAACATTGGAAATACTATTTATGTTTGAATTAAATGGAAAGACTAGACTGAAGGAAATGACATAAATACCCTTAAACCGTAAAATAACCAAAATACCCCTAAAGTGTAAAATGACTCATATACCTCCAATCCATGGAATCACTAAATACCTTCATAACTTAGATTGAGCAAATGCCTTGGATAATTTCTGAAGATATCGGTGAAGCTTTAAATGTGGTAACGCCCTTGAGGTTTATAGAGTACGACCTAAGTAGGTCGAACATCCCTAGTATTGTCCTTGCTGGGATTTGTAAAGTGCGATTGGAAATTGGAAACCTGTTAAGATGCTCGAAGAATGGAATTCTATAAATTGATGCATACCCTTATTAAAATGGTTTATCAAATTTCTCAGGAATCAATGACTAAAATGCCATTATAAGCCTGATTTATGGAAGCGCTTGAGGAATATAAGAATACTATGATCATGATAAATCACTTCCTGAACGATTGATGAATCCGCTAACTATTAAACCCCTTCTTATAAGGATCTCGTTTCTAAAATTCAATCAGTTTGTAGAAGTTTCGTGTTCCCCCGCTTGATAATTGCTAAGTACCTCCGAAAAATATCTTGATCCTCTAGTGTGTTCCTTATATTCCATATAATTGTGTTAACTATTTTAAAATGTGATTTTCCAAAATTACGGATTTACTCATATATTGATTTACTGTTTATGAACTATGACTACATGATATGTGTTCTCTGGTTACATGTTTTCACTAGAAAAATATAATCGTTCCTGATTTATGGATCATGGAATCTACTATTTACTGTATGAACCGATTATTGGGATATTGTCTAGGTGGGATTCTGGAGTATGTAGGTTCAAATCTGATCAAGCTGGCAATTCTTTATGTAAGTTCAACACCTATCAAGTTGGTAATTTCTTATTGATCTAAGGCGACCCTTGGGTGGGCTCCGAGGCCCAATGAGCCTAGTGGTAAAACTTTATGGACCCTAAGGTACTCCCTTAGGGTGACTTCTCTACTGTGTGCATTGGGTAATTCCTTATGTGTTTGAGGGCACACCCCTCAGGTAGGCGCCTACGCTTCGACTAGGGTAAGACCTTATGGACTTAAGGTGCTCCCTTAGGTTGTCATCTACACCCAATGAGCCTAGGGTAATTCCTTATGGATGCAGTTCTGGGGAACTGCATATTGGTGTTCAGTTGGAGGGTATTACTGTGGTTTTAAAATATGTTTTAAACTACTAAAATTTTTAAAGAATCTATAAATATTTCTCTATTTTGTTGGAACAGACTAGACTCCCCAATTCAATCTTTTGAATATGTCTTTCTCTAAATACTTCCTTCATACCGTAAATTCTTTTTTTGTAATTGAAGACTTAGCTAATAGAATCTAAATTCACCGTTAGAATATGATGATGTCTGTAACGTTAAGAAAATTCATGCTTTACTTATACCTGATGGCCTATTGCATTCATCTGGTAGTTTTGTATTACTGAACTTCTCAAAGCTCATTCTTTACTCACCATTTCAGGTTAAAAGAATCGATCCAGTGCAATTATCAACTTTAGTTTTGGAAGTTCCTTCGGCTTTGCTTGCAGAGTACGATACAATGTGTAATTAGGGGGCATGTAGGTCACATTTGTTTTTTTATATTGAATCTGAAACTTGTATGGTTTTAATTATGTTTGTAATATATGAATGATTTTGTGAACTTGTATTTTAGTTATAAATTGTTTTATGATTTTGCACGTTTTAACAAAAAAATTAATTTTCTTGGATTTTTATTGTGAGTCGCTTCGGTGGCCTTAATGTGTCGCCTCGGATCGGAACGGGTCACCTGCATCGGTCTGAGAGTGCTACAGAATTATTTTTTAATGATTTCATATATATATATATATAATCAATAAAAAATAAATATGAAAACAAATAAATTTAGTTTTAAAATATTAAAATCTTAAACCAATTATAAATATACTATTAAATTTATTTAAGTGTTGTCATATTCTCAATTGGCCTAGATGTAAGTTCTCACTTATCCGTTTTTATTTTTATCATTAACTATAATTATAATTGATTCCTAAATATTAGATTTAGCTTATTGGTTAAGGCTTGCTTGATTACTAATTAATTTTGGGTTCAAATCCAATTAAGTTATTTTAATTTTTTCTACCTAAACTTGAACAAGTTATATAACATATGTATTATCTCAATAACAAGCATGAGATTTAGCTCAGTCGTTAAGGCATGCATAGGTTACCCTTGGGACCCAAGATGGATTCACTTGGGTGTTAAAACTCATCTTTATTTATTTTCACTTCAATTCAGAAGGTAACACGTGTCACATTTTGATTAGATTGAAAATTTATTAAATTAAAATTAAAAAACCCTTTAATTAGATTGTGACACGTCTCACAATTTGATTGAGAAAATAAATTTATTAAATTAAATTGAAATTAGGACCTAATTAAAAATTAAGAATTAAATTTAATATTGGTGTTCAAATTGATTAATCCTAAAATCTAAGGGAAATAATCTATAAATTTAATACATGAATGGAATAAAAGATTTTAAAGTTAATGCTCAAATTAATTCATTAGACAAATTAAAAACAAAATCAGGATCAAATTGCATTAAATGAAAATCCAAGTAAACAAACCATACACAAGTAGTAACCAAAATGGAAGAAAACAAAGCATGTTTCCAACGTCGCAAATACATAACTTTATAAGGACCCGTGCCCTAATTATACTAATTTTGTTAACTGCCACGTAGACACTTTCGTTAAGTGTTAATGGCATATGACTATATTAAAATCATTTAAATAATTCAATGATCATATTGACGCAAAATTGAAAATGGTGATCATTTCGCGACTCAACCTATAATTATGTGATCATTTATATAGTTTACTCAAAAAGTTAATACTAAGTTTAGTAATAATTTTATAGATTCTAATTAACTAGATTTGATTAAGATTTTCATTTAGTAATAACAATTTTTATTAAATTTTATTGTAAAACATATACATATTATAGTATTATTTTAAATAGTAAATTAGAGATTTAAAAAATTAAAATAAAGAAAATAAAGGCTTAATCAGGGGTTATACATTAATATAAAGTGATATTCTAAGTAATTTAGCATAATCCAAAATCCTAAAACAAGCAGAAACAGATAGAAGAACGTTTTAGAAAAGGATTTGCAGTTAGGCATTTTAAGTAATCATAGCCAATCAGAGGTAGCATATGAAGTGCTGCAAATGGATGGAATAATGAAAAACGAAGCTGAATTGAAGTTTAGCAATTATCCTCGTTCTGCGATTAAATGGAAAGATAAAGGTAAGTTCAAACTTACTGGACGACATCCATCGCAGACCTGATTAGGTTTGTTCGATAAACTAACAACAATTCTCTTTTCTGGTTTTTTGTTTCAAGAAAATGGCGCTGCTCCGTCCACGTTTTGAATCTTTTTAACTCCTTTATCGTTATTCTTTTAGATTTTTGAATTTGTTTCTTCGTTTTTTTTTAAATTTATGATTGGATTATTATAATAACATAACTAAAATTCACTTTTGTTTACTTTTGATTGTGAATCATCAGTTTTCTTCTTCATTTTGAAATTTTTGTTAATTCCTTTTTTTATTTTTTTTAAATTTGATCGGTGAATTTGTATTTTAGATATTTGTTGAACGCAAAGAAGCAGAAAGGACAGGCGGAGACACTTAACGGCAAAGTTATCTGTTCGTGTGTTTAATGCTACAAAATCCAAGTATTTTTCTCTTTTCCAGTTCATTTTTTATTATAATTGATTTATATATTTAGATATTCGCTTAATGTTTGAAGTTGTTGAAATGTCAAATGAGATTCTCTGAATTCTCACATCATTTCACTGGCACTTGTCAAAGATTTCTTTCTGTTTTCCCCCCATTTTCCAGGTTGATCTATGGGATTAAAATATAAACGCATGCATTCAACTCTGTTTCGTGCAATTTTTTTAAAGACATGGGCTCTGATAATGGCAATGTAAATACTAAGAAATCAAGCAAACGTGTAAAATTTAAAGATGAATTTGGAAGCAGTGGCAGTGAAAGCAGTGGACATTCAAGGGAGGGCAGTGGAAGCAGTAACTATTCAGATGCCCATCTAGAGATCACAAACAGGGTTGAAGGAACTAACAGTAATGGTTTAGGGACCAATCCTGAGATTATACACAAAGGGGAAGATGATGGAAGTGGAGAGAGTAGCTTGTTTTCATCTTCATCTTGTTCATCTACCGATGATCAGTCTCGAGCGGATACGAAAGTAGCAACGTCCATATTAAAGAAAGGTCGAAATGGATCTGCAGGTTCGACATCGGAATCTCAGCTTTCCACTATCGTTCCACATGAATCGACCTTGACACAATCCCCGCCAATCCAAGTAATGGATCGACAGGCGGAAGACTTAAATCTGTGTAGGATTCCATCTGTTGTGTTCGGTACAAGCAAGTCAGCAGCACATAGGGACTGGAGTAATGCTTCTAATGACTCATTATTTAGCATTAAAGTAGGGGGCACTAGTTTCGCCAGAGATCAAATTCTAAACAAAAGATCTGAACTTTCCAAAGGCGAGTGCATGGAATTGGTTCCATCATCTTTTTTTGCTCCAATGGTGGACACCAAGAATTTCAAATCCGACGTAAAGGAAACTGAGGTATCAGATGTTTTTGTCAAGGATAAAACATTCACCGTGGAAGAACCGGTCGTGGAAAAGTCGAAAGTGCAGGTTGTGCCCTGGGAGCCACCCAACATTTCTAATCGTTCTGATGAAAATTCAACCAGTGATTGCTCCTTAGACCCTCCAGGGTAAGTTGACAGCATTCTTTTATTTCCAAATAACCCTATTTACTCGTAAAGTTATAGAAATTTCAAACCAAGTGCTTGCTCTATGATTGAATATACCCCATCTCTATTGCAGAGAGAAGAAGAACAAAAACAAGGAGAAATGTGCATGGGCGTTCTGCTACTGTTCTAATTATAGCTGCGCATTGTGCTACTGTTGGAACTGCAGCATGAAAAGATGGTGCTGTTGTTCAGAGTATGATCCTCTTTTTCTCCCCACATCTATGCTATATATGCTCATATTTGGGCAAGAAAATCTTTTAAAATTTGTGTTTGATACATTTTTGGAAATGAGTATAGACGACAGATGTATGAATACGATACTCAAATATATGAAAAACTAAAACACAATAGCATACTCAATCACATATCCGTATCCGATGCTTGCATCCAAGTAACATATGCTACATATATTCGTGCAGCTCGGAAGATGAAAGTAATTCTCCGAAGAAAGGAAAAGCGAGGCAGAAGCAGAGACAAGAAGAGAAGCACTTGGCCTCGGCATTGAAATCAAAATCAGCTTGCAGCGTCTGCAAGTGTTGCTCTTGGTTCCCTTCATGTTGTCGAGGAAAACACTGTTGTTGTTGAAAGGAACTCTCAAAACCCAAAGCGACTGGCCTCTCACCTTTAAATTTCTTCTTTACATTTATTTTCGTTTTCTTTTTTGTATTTGTAGTCTAAATATTCACATAGCAAAAGCCTGTACACTGACTTTTTCCCAAAGTTTACATTGCAATTCTTTTTAATGTTTTCTTTGGATGATTAGTAAAAGGATCGGTTCTTTTATACAATTTGTTTTAATTTGTTTACTGCTATCGAACTCTTAAATGTAACCTTTTAAATTCACTAATGATACAACCAAATAACATTAAAAAGGTTTAACATTCATTAATGATACAATTAAAGGTTTCTTCTGGTTCTAGTTGCCCTCTTCTTTTACATCAGGAAAAGAGTTCCACCTTCCGGGGTACATGTTTCCGAATCAAGAGAAATGACTTTTGTTGACATTCAGGCAACGGGGAACTTTAGTGCAGAAAATGCATCGGGAACGGAGGTTTTGGTGCCACTAAACAAGACTGAAGTAGCTCCGGAAACCCTTATTGCAGTGAAGGGGCTTGCTGTCGGAAGGTTCCAAGGTGTTCGGCAATTCCATGTCAAAGTAAAGACCCTCGAAACGATGAGGCACCCTAATCTCGTGACTCTAATAGGGTATCATGCGAGACAGAGATGTTTCTCATATACAATTACTTGTACGGCGGTAACTTAGAAAATTTTATCGAAGAAAGGGCCGCAAGAACTTTAGATTGGAAAATTATTCACAAGATCGCTCTGGATATAGCCCATGCACTCGCATTGCATGACTAATGCACTCCGAAGGTTCTGCACCGGGATGTCAAGCCAAGTAACATATAGATAGACAGATTGTAACGCTTATTTGTCTGATTTCGGATTATTGAGGCTTTTGGAGACATCCAAAACACATGCAACGGCCGGTGTAGCTGGCACATTTGGATATGTTGCACTAGGGTGTGGTATGACCTGTCGTGTATATGAGAAGGCCGATGTCTAGATCTATGGAGTTGTGCTGCTCGAGTTGATATCAGATAAGAAAGCTTTGGATCCTTCCTTCCTCCGCTCATGCAAACAGTTTCGAGCAAAGGATTCGTTCACTACAAGGCTACAGCAAGGCGGTCCGCACGACCAACTCGTAGAACTGCTGCGCTTGGCCATTACATGCACATTCAATAGCCTCTCGACCAGGCCAACCATGAGGCAAGTTGTCCACCGATTGAAATGAATTTCGACCTTCTTCCGAAAGATAATACGGTTTTCGCGTGCATACTATGATCCCGAAGGAACTTGGTGCAAAATCAAGGTAGAATATTAAAATATAATTGTAATGAAATTTCAAAAGAGATTTAAAAAAATACTTCCAAAAATATGTTTCTAGAATTTCACTTTCCCATTGGCAATTTGTGAAGGGATGGCATCAAACTCTAGCATTAAAAAATTGAAGCTGGAGGAGGATTTACAACTATATGTTTAAGAGGATAATCAACATCACTGCCGCCTGCATGCTTGACAAACTCTGCTGGAGATAGAAAATTTCCATGGCAGACCCACATTATCCGAACTTCTTCTCCCTTACCGTACTTATACAGAATGCCCTTTTTGAATCCATTTTTTTAATTTTTGGATTAAACTATTAGTTAAAGAATTAATCTTTATGAAATTCTCTATCATTTGGTATAAAAATTTCATGAAAATCATGCTTAGATGTTGAGATTCATGATTTGGGTGGTTGAAGAACATGTTTGATCTTGAAGATTTGATGGGAGATTTTTATGTTATTGATGTTGTTGAGTTTTTCTAAAGCATAAGAGATGATTAAATTTAAGTGTGTAAGCTTATATCATGATTGGCCATGGTTAGGGTTTATAGAAGTTGATTGAGTTGTGAATAAATTTGATGTTGTAATGATTGAAATGACATGAATTTGATGTAAGGAGGTTGAATTAATGCTTGAAATTAAATGAAAAGTATGCCTTAGATCACTAATAAGGTTCGACTATGGTGAATTTATTTAGGGAAAAATTTTAAAAAATTTTCAATGGTTTATATTTGATATTAGATGGATTCTACATGTCTTGGAGACTGAATTGGATCAATTTGGAGCGTTGTGTTAGTAAAGGGACCATTTTGGTAAGTTTAGATATTTTAGGGCATTGTTGTATAATTGCTTAATTGTGGGTGTTTAATGCTGGAAATTGATGTTTTAATTCTGAAAATGAAGTTAGAATGTTGTTTTGGATCAAAATGCAAAAGTTAGTAAAGTTTGGTGACTAATAAGTTTGGGGTTTGAATTGCAAGTTTGTAAATTTAAAGGTATTAGACTGAATATATTATATAAATGCTGAAAATTTTAATGTTGGGTTTGAATTGAATGAAATGGTGAAGGGTCATTATGAATTAAATGGAAATATAACACCCCAATTTAGGGGCTAAATTTTAAGAAATTATAAAGTGGTGGATTTAATTGGTATTTTGAAAGAAATTGTGGATTAAATTATAAAATTTCAAAGTTGACAGACCATTTTAAGAAGTGCAGGAAGTTCAGTGGTTAAACTCATGATTTGACCATTTTTCTTTAGGAGTTAATATAACCCCCATTTTCCGTGCATTTTCGGCAAAAAATGCTCATAATTCCTCTCCCGGTCACCAACTTTCAACTCTGATCTACTCGCCGTCCGATCTCCGATCGACGAGTCGAAACCACCATCGTGTTCGTTGTCGAGCGAGGAACAAAACCCCTCAAACCTTTCATCGTGAATCGTCACCGTTCGTCGTTAATTTCATTCGGAAGCATCGTCTGTAATAACTCGGTTTTAGTTGGTTTTTCATCGATTCATGACGATCCGGTCATCCTTTTACGACACCTCCCGCACCATCGTGTTCCTTGCATCGTTCTGAATCTACCGGTGTCATCCTTGGTCTCTGTCGACGGCGGCGCGTGAGGAGGTAAAGCGGTCAAAGTTTCCGATTTGTTGAAATCGAGCTATTCGCCGTTCAAAATTATGAACCGAGCTTTGTAAGTATCTCGAAATCGCTCAAAATAATTTTTAGAATTTTTTTACGGGAATTTAGCACTGTTCACGCGCCGCCACTGCGCGTGGGGAAGGAAAAAGTGACTGGTTTGACCGGTCACAACCCGACCCGTTGACCCGACCCGACCCGTTGATCCGACCCGTTGACCGATGTTGACCACTGTTGACCAAAACTTTGACTAGCTTTGATCGGGCATTAAACGACCTTTGACTTTGACCGAGTATACCTATCCTGACATTTTTCGACGTTCCAAATCCGATTCCGCTGTCTGTTTTTCAAAATTCGAACCCGAATGCCTCAAAATTGCCGATCAAACCCGTTGACTTTGATTTTGACGTCCTGAATCCGAATCCGAAGTCTGTTTCGCCAAATTCGAACCCGGTAAGCTTTTTTTCACTAATTTATCACATGATTCGATCCGTTTATCGTAATTAAGCTCCGTTTTTTATATAATTTATGTTGATATGTATCTGAGGAATTATTGGAAGTTGAATTGAAGATCAAAGGCGTTCGAATGGAATTTTTATGGTCGACCAATATTGCACGAAAACGAGGTAATACTTTACTACCTCTTTATGCTTTATGGAACATGTGAATATTGGTAAATGCATGATTAAGATAATGTTGGTCTCATTGGTGTAGTTAATTAGTTTCTACACTCGATCTGAATACGGTAAAAGGGTTCAGTAATTGAATATGGTTCAGATGATTTTTTATAAGAAATTGATGGATTGTTAGAATTAAATTACAAGTTCTGTGCTTAGTGATAAAGAAATCAACATGGATTTGTAACTTATAGTTTATTTCATCAAAGGTTAAATGTTAAAGATACTTGGATGGGAAATTATGATAATACTCTGGTAGGGTAAAATTATGAAAATATCCTTAAGTTGTAAGATGTCAAGAATTGTCCCTGGAAGTTGATTAATAACTCTGAAAGGATATATTGATATGATAAAACTACAGATATGCTTAAGAAATGCTAGATTTTGCTTACGAAATACGGATAACCGGTTTTTAACCTCTAGAGGGTTTGTGCAAGATATTAGAATTCTATTAAGGAATCATTTCAAGATAAGAGAATGTTCGGTAAAGCAATTGATCATAGGATCTATAAATTATAATTATTTTCGTTAAGAGCTAATATTGAAATTATCTGGTTAAGAAATTACGGAAATGCCCTTGAGAGGTAAAATAGTCCTAGTTAACCTTGAATGAGAAAATACTTTGAGGATTCGTACTTAACTCGATTAAGTACGGATTTGATTATTAAGATTCTGACTTAGTTCAGGAAAATTCCTGATTTCCCGTTTGTAAAATCTGAGAAGACACTTGACCCAGAAATATCTGAGTTATGAGTAAATACCTGAAGAATAATTTGTCAGGGTGTTTTGTTGTCATAATTATTCGAAATGATTGAAATAAATGATAAGATTGAATTTAATAGTAAGATCGGACGGAAGGAAATGATTGAAATACGCTGAATCTGTAAAATGACCAAAATACCCCTGTAATGGAAATGACCCAAGAATACCGCCAAGCTCAATAATGATTGGATATCTTCGTGCTCTGAAATAAATAGAATAAAAATGAACACCAAAATTACCAAAATACCCTTGTGTCATATTCTAAGTAAATGCCTTGGATTAATTAAGGAATCCAAATAAGCATAGGTATTGGACTACCTTTAAAAAGTTATGGAACACAGCTTAAGTAAGCCGATCAACTTTAATGATATGTCAGTACCTGAACGGCTTAGATATTACTTGAATGCGTGTTCGTCTACTCAAGTTTAGCTCGATGATAATTTTGGATGTATTCAGCTCAGCTCAACTCTAGATCGCATTCAGTATTAAGAATTGGACGTTTGTTCGACAAATAAACCACGAAGACCAAATTAAACTGAATGGAAATACAATATGTATTTGGAATTCAGAAACGTCTGAATTACTCTGAAAAACTCTGAAGTAACAAGAATATACATGATTGTTAAATGAACTAAATA